GATCCGTTCTTCACGAGTACGTCCATTTCTAATTTATTCTTCGACTCGGATCTCTAAGCTAAGAATGAAATTATTCGTCTCGTTTCTCAATCGATCAAATCGAAAAATTCCAATTGTCGAATAGATATATCGATGTAAAGTAATCGAAGCTATAATAATCTAATTTTAAAAATTATTAATAATTTCCAAAAATGGATGGAACGGATGAATAAATTCGCGTACGTAAAGTCACACGGTTGAACCGAATTATCCTCCAATTTCAACGTTTCGAGCTCGAAACGACGAGATTTCTCCGTCCTCCGCTCGCCCTAATCCGTCTCCTTTCCTACTCCCCTCCCACCTATCGAGGTAACGCGTCCCGATTTTCCGCGAGGCGGCCCGCTAAACGGAGCCTCTCGGCAATTTGCCGGCACGCCGCACAACTCACCGGCCCCGAGAGCGCAATCGATTACCGTGGTCGAAACTCGCGGCCGCCCGATACCGGATACAATAACCCGGCCGCCGCGCAATAGCAGCCGCGCGCGCTCCTTTAGGTGGCAGAAACCGGGTTCGTGTTCTCGGGACACGGCGGCTTAAAGCGGCACACAAGTCACGTACCGGCATGGGACCACCGAGTATTATGGCGCGTCCTCTACCCTGAACCGTTTCCCCTCCACTCGCTCGCTCGCTAGCTCGCTCGCTCACTCATTCTCTCTGTCCGTTTGCCTCGTTCCAACGTGTACACCTTCTTCTGCCTTGGCTGGCTACCTCTCTTCGTCGACCTTCCCTCCCTCCGTCTTCGTCCCACCCGCAGTCATATACGTATTACGCGCAGCGTATATAATGTGGGTGCCGGTTGCACAGCGAGGCAGCCCGGTGTCACGCTACGTGCTTCCTGCCCGCAGGCCATGGTGTGACAAAAGGCCTTATGTCCGCCCGCTCGTGGAACACTCGTGATCGCAATGTGTAATCAAGCTCGCATGGCCACTGTATTACCACGTACACCTCTACCGTGGCCCGCGGCCATCCAAGCGCCTCTATATACAGGCGCGCACACGAGCCACACGCAACCAACTACGCACGCATGCACGCACGCACGCACGCACGCACGCACGCACGCACGCACGCACGCGAGTAACGCGCCGCTTTTGGCTGGCCGTTTCCCGCGCAGGACGCGACCCGACCCTCCCCCTCCTTTCCACGATCGGTTTCGCAAGCCGGACAGAGAGGCAGACAGGGAGAGGGAGAAGGAGAGATATCCCAGCGGCGCCCACTTTTCTGCTCGATTCGTCGCGCCATCGTGCCCCAACCACCGGACCCGTGCTCTCTTTCGGAACCGATAGTCTCTCTCTCTCTCTCTCTCTCTCTCTCTCTCTCTCTCTCTCTCTCTCTCTCTCGAGGGAATTTTTTTTTGCCGCATCTTTTTCTCGCTTTCCTTTTTTTTCATCTTCTCGCTCGCTTTTTGTTTGCTTCTGTCGTTGATACTTGGATAATTTTGGATAGAGTAGGAGTTTAAGATTGGACTCGATTTGATAGGTAAATTGAAAGGCGATTTCGAATGAGTGGGAGACGACGCTTTCGTTTCGAGGATAAATTTAAAGAGTGGTACGCCTCTTGTGTTAATTTCGTTCCCATTGTGTTTTCTTACATCAAAAAGAAAAAAAAGAAATATTCTCTATCGAAACTTTCCCTGCCAATTCGTCACGAATTCTTAAAATCTTCCAGCCTATTGTATTGTTTACTCCAGTGTATTGTTACACGAAGTTAATTTTTATTCATTCGCGTCGAATTAACGAATAATATTTTCGTCGATTTTCGACGACACGAGTCTCCGTTCGTTTTTCCACGGAACAAGGGTGCAAAAGCGGGCCGAAGCGGAAAGTTAAGGGCGGAAAAGGGCAATCCTGCCGGGTCCCCGGTATACGTTGCACTTTTGGCAGTTTCCGAGCCGTGTCGGGATGCAGTCTGCCGCGAGTAACGTGTTTACCTAGACTATTGATCGAAGGGGGCGAGAGATCCGTGTTCGGGCAGAGGTGTGCGGCTTCTGGAAAACTTCGAGGGTGGAGGGTCGAGAATTTTTGTCGAGTTCCTCGTTGAGGGGTGGGGGGATGGGATATTCGAGAGCCAGCGGGATAGCCGAGCGTATCCGTGCGTCAGGGAAACTTTCGAGACCTCGACTCGACAACTCGACGGGGACACTCGTTGCGCCGCGCTTTGATATTTTTCCTGCCTCGATTGGAATTTTTTTGCGCGACTCGATTCTCCGCGTTTCTTCGCTTTTTTGCTTTTTCTCTCTTTCTCTCTCTCTCTCTCTCTCCCTCTTTTCCTCCCTTCCTTTTTCCCTCTCTCCTCTCTTCATGTTTCATTTTACGGGAGATTCTCGCGTCCAAATTGAACGATGCGGACGAAATATTTCTCGAAGTAAATTGCGCGATATCGATGATCGTTCGAGAATTTTACGATCTTGATCTTTTGTAGTTGTAACGAGCAATCGTTAATTTATATATGTATAATATATATGTATATATATATATGTATATATATGTATATATGTATAATATATGTTAATTTATATACGTTAATGTTTAAAAATAATGATATGCCAGTATTAATATCTTTTTAAAAAAAAAAATATTTAGAAATATGGATCGAGATCTTTGAATTTGACACTTATCATAATTTATACTTAGATTCGATAAAATTTCCAGCGGTTTAATCGCAATTTTGCTTTTTTCCCGGCTACATACTTTTTTAACTCGATCTTTCTAATTTGATTAGATCCAAATTTTAATCTATTTCGTTCAACGTAAAGTAAATAGGGAACGTAAAACTACATTATCTTCCACGATTTAACCACTTTAAACGCGTTCGTGGCAACAAGAACGCAAAAAGAAAGCGAACGAAATCTTCGATCCAACTCGACGAGCAAAAACTCGAAGAAAAAAAAGAAAAAAATAAAATAATCAGATCACCTTACCGAAAAATCGAATGAGAAAACACTTCTAGCTCCTAGCTCTCCGAAACTTCCATCCGATCCTCGATTTTGTCAATTTCAACGATTCAAAAAAAAAAAAAAGAGTACACCACTGAAAAATTCACCTGTCCGATCTTCACATCGATCGCGCCGATTTTGGACGATTCGTAAACACACTATCTCGCACTATCTCGAATCGAGAAAGAGAAAATATATCGCGTCGAGAAAAAAATAAAAAATAAAAAATCTCTTTTCTTGAAAATCGTTCGAGAACACGATTCGAAAAATCGATCTCTTTTCTTTAATATCTCTCCTTTCAATCACGATTCCTTCTTCCTTCTCTCGCACAACGATCCATTCGTCACGTTTCTTCTCACAAGCGGTTCGCACGTCTGGTAACGGAGCGCGGAGCGCGGAAAAGCGAAAGAGAGACGGTATGGGCCAGCAATTTCTGCGCCGGTCGGGATCTAATCCACCGCGAACAGCCGGCCTCTCGTCATACCGACCGTTACACACACCGTGGAGAAAACGTCGAACGCTTCGGGTGTCCCGAGCGGCAGTAAGTTGAATTCCCAAACGGGCGGGTGTGGCGACCGTCCCGCAACCGAAACGGATGCCGCTATCTCCACGACTCCCGGCGTTTCTCTCTCTCTCTCTCTCTCTCTCTCTCTTTCCCTCCCACCACTACCGCAACTTCTTTCAACTTTTCTCCAAGCCTTCCACCGATTTTTCTACCTTCCACCGTTACCTCTTTCTTTCCTTTCTTCTCTCCCCGGTGTCTTCTTCATTGCTATGGGAGAAATCGTTCCCACGAAATCGATCCTTTTTATCACGAGAATTCGATTCTTCCACTCTTCTGGGAATAGATTCGCTCGAAAAATTTTCCAACGAATTTCATTTACACGTATGTGTACGTCGTGATGTAACGTAATCGTGATGTGCAAAAAAAGAAATTCGCTCGATCGATTTCGACGGAGTTGGATCACCTTGGGAATACAACGAGTCCGGTATTGCGTTTTACAGAAGGTTTCACAGAAAGGATCCGATGATGTTTTTTCGAAAAGAGAATGGAAAAATTCGTGACGAGAATTCACGAAGCTGGTCGAAAATCGGGTGACGGATTCGTTCACGGTTCGACACGCCGCCGATTCGGGCTCGTGAAAGCGTGACACACGCGCGACAGCGTGCTGTCAGTGGCCGATCGGGCAACACTTTCCTCGTGACACTTTTTTTCAGCACGGATAAATGTCGGTGGTCGGATCAGGTTGTGGACGATAGCACGATTTCGCGTCGCGTGTTGTCACGCGCGACGGGTGAACCGCGGCGGTCGCGTGCGAACTCTCGAAAGAAACTCGAGCACGTCATCGTTCGACGACGGCTATGGGACGACAGGCGAAAGAAAGGCGGCGGGAGAAAGGGAGACGAAGGATCGACGGGCGACCTCCGTTCATCTCCATATTCATGGGGGACAACGTCGAGGCGCGACGACGATTCCGTGAGCTTTAACGAGCCGTAAAACGCGGCCGTGAACGAAAAAGAAAAAAGAAGGAAAAAAAAAAAAAGCGCAACGCACCTTTAACCGCCACCTTTTTCAAATCTCAGAATCGCGGTGTTATCGGTCGTCACGCAGCACCGACACCGCGATGAAAACAAAAATAAAGAGATGTAGACGGGTCACAAACACACCGGAGAGACACGCACACTCACTGTTTGCATTCGTCGTTGTGGACGTTCGTCGTTGCGGCTGTCGTGGTCGCGACGATCACCGAGACTGGCCGATATATGCTCGTGCGTCTGGCGGCACAGTCGCGAGAAAAAGAAGGGAAAGAGCGAGGAGAGAAAACGTTGGCTGAGCGCGCGGAAGTGAAAAAAAAAAAAAAGAAAAAGGAAAGAAAGAAAACAAAACACGGCACGAACCGAAGAGTCGAAGATGAGTAAAAAAAAGTAAAGAAGTAAAAAAAAAAAAAAAAAAAAGAAGCGCGACTCGCGGAACACTTGACGCGGCGCGCGGCTATACAACACACAAACACACTACTATATCACCGACCTGCACGAGAGCACCAGTAGCCAGCCGTAGTTCTCCTGGATCCTCACGTATCCAGCGTGACGATCCGTGCGTGCCGCGTGTCCACGTTCCGAAAGTGTCACCTCCCTCTCCAGTCGGTTGGCTTCAGACGTGTGCACCGGCGAAGATCCGTGAAAGGAGGAAGAAGAGGCGAGAGATCGGGGCAAGCCAGTCGCGGTTGGACGATGTCGGTGGCGCGCACTTCTCTCTCTCTCTTTCTCTCTCTTTGTCTCTCTCTCTCTCTTTGCCACTCGTCGCACCTTGATACTCCGTCTTTCTTTTCTCCTGTATTCCTGTACCTCTCTCTCCCTCCCACTGTCCTTTTCTTCTTCTTTACTTTTCTCTTTTTTTCTATAGTTTTGCCTCGGTCCGTCACTTGTTTCTTTCCCTTCTCCTTCTGTGATATTCTCTCTTTTTCCTTTTTCTTTTCCCACCGTTCTTTTTCCACGCTTTTCCACGCTTCTTTTTTCCCTTTCCTTTTCTTTTTTTTTTCTACGTTTCGTAACTTCCCTTTTTACAAAACCACCAGCGCGCACGTTCGACGCGCGGCGGCAACGAGCCGAGTATAGGAAGAGAGCAGCAAGAGACGTGTCCGCGCGAGACGGAAAGGAAAAGGAGAGCGCGCGCGCCCCGTGAAAGAAAGAGGAAGAAGGAGGAGAGTAGGAGCAGATGCCGAAGGAAGAGGCGGTTCGGGGCGCGGGAGGTGGAAAACCGAGCGACGGTGGCGGCGGCGGCAGACTCGGTTGACTCGGTGGCCGAGCGGTATCTCACCCGCGAAAAGCGTCCCGCGATCAGGTGACAGCGGGAGTACACACCGGCGCTACTCAGGAGCGAGAAAGAGGGATGGATGGCCGTGTGCGCGCAACACGAGAGGAACTGAGCGAACGAGACGGAACGAATGGCCCGCTCGAGCTCCCAACGGAGACAGAAGCCTAGTGGCTGCGGTGGAGGGGGCGCGTGGTGGGACGGCGGGAGGTTAAACACGCCGAACGCCGGCCAACCGACAGAGAGGGAAGTGGGAGCGAGAAGGAGGGAGAGAAACCGATAGCCGGCGCTCGTGCGTTTCGAGTGTGACTGACGGCGAAAAGAGAAAGAGACCCAGGGAGATTGGCGGAGGAGAGAGAGAAAAAGAGAGAAAAAAACAAAAGAGAGTAAGAAGAGTAAGAAGAGGAGGAAGAAGAAAAAAAGAAAAAGAAGGGTAAAAGGAAACTGGGGAGGAAATCGACGGAGAAAAAGAAGACGACACGACCGTCCCGCCAGGAAGAACAAAGAGAAGTAACATGCGTAACGAGGACGTAGAAGCGTAGGAGCGACGGAACAAGAGAGATGGGAGAAAACGGATATAGAGGCGGCGTATAGCGGCGGGTACGCGATGCGCGACTCGCCGGGGTGGAAGAGCGTGCGCGCGCGCGCGCACGTTTCTCTCGAAGGGGGAAGTCGAGGGAGAGAAGGGCTCCCTGATCGCTTCTGAGTGCAAACGGTTCGGCGTGCGGTGGGACACTGGCAGGCGGGCGGCTGGCTGAAACTGCTGTGGATAGCGGGTGGCGAGCGGTGCGATACTCTACGGGACGGGACGGGCCGAGAGCCGGGCCGGGACCCCCATCCACCTATACGGAACGCACACAACCGTTTCCTTCGTTGGTCGTTCGTTCGTTCGTTCGTTCGCTCGTTCGCTCGTTCGTTCGTTCGTTCGTTTCGTTCGTTCGTTTCGTTCGTTCGTTCGTTCGTTCGTTCGTTCGTCGTCCGTCGGTCTCCCTTCGAACATACACAAAGAGAGAGGGAGACTCGACGGACGCGCCACGCAGAGAGCGCAACACATAGCCGCGTTTTCACACGGACAGTGAGTCAGGCAGGCTGGCAGGCTGGCAGGCTGGCAGGCTGGCAGCCAGGCAGCCAGGCAGCCAGGCAGGCAGACAGACAGGCAGGTAGGTAGGTAGGTAGGCAGCCAGGCAGTCAGGCAGGCAGGCAGGCAGGCAGGCAGGCAGGCAGGCAAGCAAGGCAGCCTCGGCTATATATGAGCCATAGCACGTTACTACGCCAACGGCACTGCCTGCCCTCGGCTCGATTCGGTCTCGCTCGGGCGGCCGCGTTAGTCCGACTTTGCCGTCTTCGTCGACCGCTACGCTCCATCCTTGTCGTTCTCGCTAACTCGTCTTTCGGCGCGCTTCTCTCTCTCTTTCTCTCTCTTTCCTTCCTTTTCCCCTCTATCTTTCTCCGTCCCTCGTTCTCTCTGGTGCTCCGTTTCGTGCCGCTACTCTCCTCCTGCCTCTCATCCCTCGGATCTCCTCGTCGTCGTTTTCCTCCCCCTTCCTCACGCTTCAGCCCGATGCTCTCTTCCGCAAGCGCGCACGATCCACGTCTCTCTTTTTCTCCACGCTTCTTCTCCTTCTCTCGGATTCTCGCCTTCCATCCTCCTCCATTAAACGGACCCTCCGTCCGATCGTTTCTCTCGGTCCGTGTGCACCGCTCCCTCGTTCTCTTTCTCGAAGCGTCGGCTTCTCTTTGTCGCTCCGTCCTCGTCGTTTCACGGCTACGTCTCGCTCGCTCTTACACCGTCTGTCGCGTTCTCTTTCCAATCCCACGCTCGCTCCTCGTCACGCCTCGTTCTCGCGTCGTCCTCCTCGTTTTCCCGCTGTCTCTCTTCGATCCTCGTCGGCTCGTTCTCTGTTCCCTCTCTTGGAGAGCGCTCGCGCGCGCGCGCGCGCGCCCACACTCGAGCGGTAGCATATCGTAGGTCTGCCTGCCTACCGGAGCTTTTCAGACACCGATGAACGTGCTGGAGGCTCGAAAGCACGACGCAGAGAGAAGGAGAGAGAAAGAGAAGGAAAAAAAAGAGGGAGGGGAAAAAAAAAAAGAGGCTGCGAACGAAAAAAGAGACGAGTCAAGCGGGAAGGAGCGAGAAGGAGCGAGATAAAACGAGACGTGACCGCGGGGATGTAACGGGTGTGTATGGAACGACACAACGACGACGACGACGACGACGACGACGACCGGCGGGCGCCTTGTTCACGAATTTTTCGCCGCGGGATGAGTTTCGTGAAGCCGGCAGCCGAGGTGGAAATTGCTTCCAGAGAAATTGGATTTCACGATAATGGCGCGAATCGGTTGCACAGATTTCCAGGAAACCAAAACGGGTGGAAAGGAGCGGGAACCGGCGGTCCCGCTTCGATTCATCCCGACCCACTGTAAATTTCTCGATACACGCGACGATACAACCGTAACTACTATCCGTGAACTCGCCGCTGTTCTCGTTTCGAGTTTCTGGGGGAGGGGGAAGGGAGAGGGAAGAGGGATCCCTGGCAACCGTCGCGCAACGTGGAAATTATTCTTCTTCGAATTTTTTTCTTCCTCCCACTTATTTTTTATAAATAATACTCCCATCGATTCGTATATCGTATCGCAGAATCAGGCGAAATTGACGAAATTAACTCGATTATTTGAATAAAATTTGCTCGTAGATTGTGGTTTTTCTTTCTTCTTCTTTTCTGTGGTTCGAAATCGTCTCACTTTCGTGTGAGGCGTTCGAAAGAAACACGTGCGTTTTAACAGTTAATTTCTAGCTTCGCTTCGTTGATACAAGACTTTTACACGCTTCGAAATTTCCTCCGTTTAAGCAGATTTATGTAATATCTTCGTCGCTACTAATTGGCTGGCCCTTCAAAGCGTAGCTAGTCACTGCTGGTTACTATCGCAAACAGAATTAGCGTGATTTGCGGTTGCGGATCTTTCGTTTAAACGTTTGCATGGAAAATCCATGGGACTAACGGGACTCCAGGTGGAGTTTCGACCGACGCCATTCTTATAATTTTAATTTTTTTTCTCCGGTATACTGTTAATTATGCGTTGATTTTTCTTGATTTTAAAATAATATTTCTGTGTTTCTGTGTATTTCTGTGATTCTTGGGATTAGAATATGTTAGATAATAAATAATAAATATGATATGAAAATACAAAAAGTGTTCTTGTTGGTTTTTTTTTCTGATATTTCTCAAAATAACTTGAAAATTTAATTATATGTATCACATGTTATTTTCGAAAGAATAACATTATACGACCAGTCCTGTCAAAAATTGCGTCAAACAAACTATAAAATAAAATCATCTTTCCGAAAGGATGATTTTCACTTTCACTATTCCAAAAATTTTTCAATAATTCTAATTCCTTAAAAATCATCCCGAAAAACACACTACCATTATTTCCAAGATCCAACCCCGATGGACAAAATTTATCGAAGTTACTTTAATAATTTCAAAGCACCTAACAACAATTGCACATTAATTGTAATATGAAAAGCGGATCACCAATCAACCAACTACTACGAATAAATGTTATTTAACAACTTTTTCCATCTTTTTTTTAATGCCCAACTCTGGCTTTACCATTTTACAACCACTCTATATAACCGCGCGATTCTTCGCAGGGAGCGCAGGACCTCGTGCCTGCGATCTCCACCCGCAAAGATCGTCCCAAGGGATAAGCGAGGACAAGCAAAGGCTGTTGCCCGATTCCGAAAGGAGTTAGCCTTTGGTGACAGGAAGCGGAGGAGATCGGTCACCGCGCGCGGAAGCCTGTCCGCTTCCGATCGGGGACAAGTCGGTCTCAGCTATTCCAACAAAGTATTCCTCGCACACAGACGAAAGAGAGAGAGAGAGAGAGAGAGAGAGAGAAATAAAGAGGGAGGGAGGAAGAGGAGGAGGGAGAGGGGGGCGATGAGCGCAGTCGCCGAGTCTGCGAAGTTGCCTTAATCTCGATCCGCCTGTCTCTCTCCCTCCCCCTCACTCCCTCTCTCTCTCCATCTTTCCACCTCTATCTTCCCCTCCCGCCACCTCTTCCCCTCTCGTCACTGGGAACGACAGACTTTGAGGGTGACTTTGAACGAGATAGAGAGTTCGAGAAACGAGAAAACGAAGCGTGGAAGCGGAGAAGAACCGTCCGTGGGCTCGTCCGTAATCCGGGTAAAGAAAGAAGCTGGCTAGAGGTAGTGGAGGCGACATCGTGGAGGACGGGTAGGAAAACGATGAAAGAGAGGAGAGAGAGAGAGAGAGAGAGAGAGAGAGAGGGAGACGGACACGGAGGGACGGGAGAGGAGAATACCTGAGCACAAAGGCACTCGACATGGCGAAATACAGGAGAGCCGTCCAGAGAGAGAGAGAGAGAGAGAGAGAGAGAGAGAGAGAGAGAGAGAGGGAGAAGGTGGACCCGCATCACGCGAGGTTCACGCTCAAAGCATCGGCTTTGGGACTCTTGGAAATTCGTGCATTCGTTTTTTGAGTTACGATTATACGATCGTGTTGATAATATATATTTGTAATATATTGTGATAATATATTGGTACATCTCAGAGTCTCTTTCTCTCTTCCTTTATAGTGTTAATTGAAATTATTAATTAGATCTACGTTCTTTTTCTGGTGGTTAAAAGATTGGGTATTTTTGTTTCTTTTAAAGATATAGATACACAGGGATTTCTAAAAATAGAATTTCGATTGATGCGAACGACGAAAATTATTCTCCTTCGTTGAACGCACAAAGGGAATTCTAACTATTGCACGATTGTCTAAAAAAAAAATATATATATATAATCCTGTCGAGTTGTCGATTTTTAGAGCGGAGGAAAGACAATGAGCCGTATATGGACATTGTAGCATCACGTAATCTCTACTATCTCGTCCTTGTACGACATCTAATTAGGACACCGTATTAGACGAAGTAAGAGACGAAGTGTGCAACATCGTCGTGTGGCTAAGGACACCATCACCTCGCTCTACCTCCTCCGTCTCGCTTCGTCTAACGCAACTTCGACTCCTCCTAATCCCGCGAATAAAACCCAAAATTTTTGCATTTATCTCCAAAAAATCGACGACCAGGATCCAAACGTGAACAGTGATTTGATTTTCGTGAGAGGGGAAGGCTATGCTTGCAATTGATGAAAAAATGGACATACTTTCTTCGAAAATTCACGAATATCTTCATTTTCGCGAGAAGGGAAGAAAGAGAAGAAGGATGATAACCGAAATTTCTGCATTTTTCTTCAGTCCACGAAACTCGACACACAACGGGCCGATTTTCTTTTTACGCCTAGGAATCGAAACACAAATCGAAAGAGGAAAGGATACCACCAAAATTTTTCCATACTTTCTTCTACACACCGAACAAGTATTCCGCGAACAACATCAACACCCTGCGCGACACAACGA